CCAACCACGTGTGATAACTCCTTTAAGTTCTTCCATACTCAGATCGTCAATAGTTGCAGTTTGTATGTGAGAAAACTCGAGTTGCGTCACCGCCAATGCAACGTTCACGGATTCCAGCTTTTGTTCCTGTCCTGTGTCTGGCAATGTGGCTCGTGACAACGTGTCCGCCACAAACATGCGTTTACCTTGTTCGTAATGCAGCTCATAATTGTATTTCTGTAGACGTATTAGCATCGATTGTAATCTCCTTGGGGACTCTATGCTCTAAATGCCAAAACGCAGAGGCTAAATCCACCTTCGTAAAGTATCTTGTATTAGCTAATTCCGGTAGTATGTCGTCAAAAATGAGCAGCGTAAAGTGCTCCCGTTTCAACGCCTTGTTCAGTGGTTTCGGGTCGACACATATTCTTAATTCCCCAGACTTTTTCGTCACCACCACTACCTGACTTACCCAGTCCGTTGGTTCATAGACTTTCTCCAGAACGCCTTTTGCGATAAGATTATTCACTTCACGCGAAAATTCATCTCGAACAGCGAGTTACGTGGGAGAGCTAAATTAGGTGCGTTTCCAGGTGGAGCTGAACTCGGGTTATATGACCACTGTTCGTTGAAATATAATAATAACACCAATATATATTTGTCAAATCGTGTTTGCTTGCATGCCCGAAATATAATTGACGAAAATCAGCATTCTGTACACCAAAGCCTTCAGTAACATTAGCATCTGGGTACAGTCTGCAAAGCTGCAGACCAAACCTCAGTCGTTTGGTGTATTACGCACTACCAGTGACCAAACCCACTAATGTTAAATAACAAAAACAATTCGACAACCGCTTTACCCAATTCCAAATCGCCTCCATGAGCGCCACCGTGAGCGTGAGTTACATTCCATTGAGTTAGTTGAATCTGACACTAGGTAGAAAACGGTTTCAATATTAGTTGCTCAGTTCGGTGTCTGTTATAGCCACACAAATCCTCCATTCAGAGCACACAATATATCTGTGTGCTTGAAAATGAAATGAAATAAAAATAAAGAATTTTTGATTTGTTTGTGTCCCCAATTACGTAAAAGAATCATCTGGATCTAGATTGAATTATGTTAGGCAAACTCTCATTATTAGTGTTGGTCACTCACATGAGAGACTACGCAAAGCACGTTAAAAATCTTACTGCCTAGACATACAATCAATTAGTAACGTTGTTTTGAGGTGAAAGCAATGAAGATCGTACACACACAATGATTACTCGAGATCCATACTTAAACTAAGGTTCTCCCTCAGAGAAGGAGTACGATTGATCGTGGACAACACGGGAAAGATTAACTACAACTCTGCCCATTGACATGGGCTCTCATCTGTGTCCCTGTCATTCGTTGAACGCTGACGATCCCTGATGACAGTAAGTGCAAATGCGATAAAAATTGGTAGAGGGCATTCACTTATCGATACTTTTGGCGCATTGTATTCTAACTTGCGAGAATTTGATTTCCAGCTTCACAAGCCAGATAATTTGATCCGCTCCACCTGAAAATAACGTTCGTTCGATGACTTGGTTACATCCATCGTGAATTGACATGATCAAACTCTAAGCCATAGAGCCAAACCTGAACTGGAGATGCAGAGATTGTGGTGGATCTCAGAGCATGGTATCAGGGATACCATTAATACTGACCTGTTTGGGCATAAGCGATGGCCGTGTAAAAGTGGAGAAAGTAAGCTACCGAAACAATCCGTAACCAGTAAAAAGAGCATTGCCTTCGTTTCCGGATTGCCTGTTATCATGAAACCAATTGGTGTTTTTCTTTTCCAAGCAACTCGTAACCGGTTGACTCACGGAGACATGATTTTTGAGAAAAAACATTTGACTTAACTCTTTGCACCCCAGGAATGTCATTAGCCAGATATTCCTTCTTCTTAGACAGGAAACTGAGGATGGGTTGAACCAGTAAATGACTGTATTTTAAAGAAGTAAACACTTTCCCACAACAGCCAGTAAAACGTTGGCAACCATTTAAGTAGTTTGTTTCGAGATAATACAGGGAACGCCACCAAGTTTGTAAGTATAGAAAGGTGCTTATTGTTATGATTAGTACCAAATTTACCTCTGTAGTTCGTGAAATTAGGAGTCACAGACATGCACAGTATATATTGGTTGTATTCCAAGAATGGGGTATTGGCGATGCAAGACAATTGTGAGTGGAAATCACAATACAGTAGAGAAACAGGTCAGTAGGGGTTACTTTTCTGAAGAATGCTGAACCATCTTATGCACAATGAGCAATAGGGAGTGTGTGACGCCAAGCGATCGGGATTCCCGCGCCAAACCAATTAGTGCTGTTTGAATGAATCTGAGAGCACAGGTGGTGATGCCGAAGCACACTATCCTTAACAGCACAAGTGCGAGGCCATCTGATCGGCTTTCTTGTTGCGGCCTCATAAAGCGTTGTTCATCGATTTGCCTGGTGAGAAATATAGGAATGCCAGAGGCGACGTTCACACACTTAGATCTATCAAACTATCTGTAATCGATCCTGGTTAAGTTCTGCTTTCTGGGTTAACGTTGACCAGTTGTTTCTGATAACTTTTGAAACATCCAATGAGTTATTTAACAAAGGTTCCAACTTTTAGAACAGACCTTGGTGATTAATAGCTTTTATCCATACCGAGCATGTATGCACTGGAATAATTTCGTATTTTATGTAATTTAGCTAGAGCTCTGTGTGACCGAGTTTTGTGTGTGCCTGGTCCTTGGCTTTCTATGCTGGCATCGGAGAGACTATGCGGTAAACAACTAAAGATATATGGCTGATTGCGTGAGTCTCCAATCCAATGGAATCAAATGAATCGATTTGGATCAGTGCCGATGAACTTGTGCAAATAGGTGTATGCATCTGCTTTATGAATCTCATCACGGTTAAGAACTCATTTTTTGAGTAATTAAAGTCAATTTCTGCTCAACGGAGGGATGTGCTAACATGTTGAGTTTGAGGAACATGCAAAAATATGTGACAGAATTCCGGAAATTCCTCGAATGAACTCGGTGAAGAGACAGTCGATACCATATGCGATAGATCGAGAGTTGAATAGAGAAGCTAAATCAATAGGTTGTCGCATTGCGGATGTACATTGTACCTCCAATTTAAGTTATCAATGATAGAGGATCAGAAAATGCAAAATCTTACGATGAGAAAGATTTCGATCATCCTCATACACAAACATGTTTGATATCAAGCTAATGTTAGAATGATGAGCCATTCACACTCACACACACAGAACTTAACTGCACCTGGGAAAATATACCAGGTGCAGATAAGACGAGAGAGGTTTTTCAACCTCCCAAGGCTGACGATATCAGCTAGCTGATTATCAAGCGTTGAAAGTCAGTCGTTATGGAGCATTTGCCAAGCAGCTGCCCCCATTATTGTTCTAACGGTCATTCGGTTACCAATACCCTCAAAGAAAGAACCGCCGTCTTCTCACACCAAATCCAAGTTTATCAATCAATTTACGCGTGGAGGCTCGAACGAAAAGATCACTGTGGTATAGGTTAATTGAGCCGATCTCAATTTGGCTTCAGAAAAATCTCGCTTTCAATCTAGCAATACGTCGATAACAAAGTGGTGGGTAATTGCTGTCGATCACAGTCTACCTTAGCTGCAAATATAACGAAAATCACCGGGATAAATTCACCGACACCGTTAACATCTAGCGAACGAGGGGCGCTACTCACTTCTCTCCACACAGCATAAACTATTTTAGGATACAGGACGGCAAAAACAGCCATGAGTGCACGGAACTATTTGAACCGAGGAGCGTTTTGCGGGATTGTTAAGGTCAAAACCCCTATAACAAAGTCCGACTCGATCGGTTAGTCGATCGATCGGTCGGTCGGAAAACCTCCTTTACTGTAAATCATTCACACTGCGAAGCTGTTCATCAGTAGTTGTTTAGTCTCCAAGTTCACTAAAACGCTGTCCATGTTGAAATTGTTCTATTTGCGGGAAACATGGCGGTGTTTGGTTTCCATTGTGCTACCACTCGATAGACATATATGCATGGGGAGGTAGACAGAGGGAAGATCACGGGTGGTGCTCAATCCAAACGGGAGTGCCTCATTTACATTCCGAAAGCTTAAACAGGTGCAGCAGATTGATGTCAATCAATTTAGTAAAGAAATTTTCTTAATTAGTGGAGAAAGATAGCAGTAATGACAGAGATTGTGTGTAGGGAGGAGGGCACGAATAATTGCGAATCAGCCCGACAACGACAGGTGATCTCATTTCAATTTGAAAAAATTGCTGAGCTTAGTACCTTTTGTCAATGAAAACAGAGATCCACATTTTTTGAAAAGTATAAAGTAGGGAATTCAGCACCATTTCTATCAAGATTTTGGAAAATAACAAAATTAGTATTACTCAAACAAATGTGATTTAGGTGTATCAATAACTACGGAAAAGTGTTTAGATTAATTTCGTAAAACAATCGTAATTCAACGATGGTTTCCGTTCAAGGTACCAAATCTCGGATGCACTCAGGTGGGCATGCAGCACACAATTCATTTGAATATTCTCTTCTTATGTGATTGCCACAACAGTTATCGCATGCATCCGACAGAACGAAGTCACTAAGCTTGTCTCCAGTCGCGTCGCGAAACCGTTCTTTGTGCAGATTAAGATAAACGTTTGAGGGACCAACGATCCACCGTCAACGGTTATCAATGAGAGTCTAGCAAGATACATAGTGCACAAAGAACCATTACGAATTGCGCAACTTTTGTACAAACTGCAGTCAGTGTGGTTGGTCGTGAAATGCTTTTTGTTTCTGTACCGCAAAACATTTGTCAACCCATTCTAATAATGGTAGTGCATGAGTATTTGCATGTTATTCAAACACTTTTGGGTTCATGGAGTTTCGTTTGTCTCTCAGGTTGGTTCTGATACCCGACCTGCCAGTGTTTCCTGCTAATGTTCCGTATCCATTTCCCTGCATTAGCTGCATCCTGGACAGCCTGTGGTCCGTCATCCGTCTCTAGTCGATGATACAACCCTAGGGACATTCTAACGCTCAGTTAGGCTAACTTCACTGCGTGTGTACAATACATTGCACACAAACGATCTGAGACTGATTTGGGATGTATGTAGACTCTGACATTCCATGCTGCGTACTTGCCCAATTTTTGAAAAATTGACTTTCGAGGTGGTGGCATTAGAAGCCGGTGCGGAAAATTCATTGACAGAATTGTGATTAAATAGTCGTCTGCATATTCAATCATATGAAATTTGATGAGGCAGCTTGTAGGCAGCTCACAGATTTGACAGACCACATACAAACACGACCAAACCTTCAAGGGATGCATTCAGACTACTACCTGGTTTTCGTGAACAATTCTATGTACTCACTCTTGAACCCTACACAGGCATGAATATTGTCCCACACGGGGAAGGAAGCTGGCAAGTATCCACATCGTTTCAGGTCGGCGTGGGTGCGAAATCAGAGCAAGTTGTTTGACTAACCACCGGCATGTTTGGATACTGAAAGCACGCTTCAACCTGGGGCTTGTCTTTGACAGGTGAACAAGAGACCGCGAGACAGGTTCACGTCACCGTCTTCTTTGTAATAGTCGGCCGTCTGTGACAAACGAGCAGCGATACTAGAAGATATTTTGATGTAAAATTAAGACTTGATTTGTAACCCTAATCATGATTACAGAACAAAAGTATCTATTTCGGTCCAGAGTGTGCATTAGAAGGAGTTTGTTGCACATAATCTTGGTTTGAATACATGACACTCAACATCGATTTTGAACAACGAACCTTAACTTCTGGAACGGATGCACCCAGCTTCAGTTTGACAACCATATCGCGACATTTGTGTTATCCCCGGAGGTTGGCAGGTTAGCTTGGACTTAATCTTCTCTTTGACTACTGCTCGATGCAACATATATCGAAAATCAGAAGAGCGTAATACGTTCCTCGGTTGGGGAGTGTTTCCAATCGATCGGAGGTCAGTTTCTCAAGGTCATATATCGAGCCTAATTGCTAGCATTTCATGTAAAGTGGATGCTTCCCTTTCTGATAATGTTGATTGTACTTACTCCTAATATAATTTAATTTGAATCTACAAATATGCTACATTTTCGCTATTGTTCACGTGATTTCTGGGTGCATTTCGTTCGTCTTGCACCATCATGAGCACGTTTCTTGCCTATTAGACAAATTTATGTGTAGGTTTATGGTATTTGTTCCATGACATTTTCAATCTTTGGCACATTGTGCGTGTTATAGTCCCACAACAGTCCATGTTCGTCAGCATAAAAGAATGGGGAATACCGCTATCGCCAATGGGAAGATATCCAAAGTAGTAAAGATCACAACAAATCGTCAAATTAGGCACACAACCCCCGCTCCTCTAAAATACCTACCAAAGTGTTACCGTTTGACCCGGTCCTCTCAATCTATCTGTTTCCTATATACAAGTATTTTTTCACCCCGATCTGTGTCGGTGTCGGTGTTTTCGCGCACGCACACGCGTGTGTGCGTTGTGCCGAACACAAATTTATCCGAGCCGAAATTAACCCAGTTCACCCAGTCCTGTCAATTTAGACAACACGTAACTGTGACTGGTCAGCTCGGAGACCGAAACCGTCTGCTTGGATAGATAAGTGTACAACCTGGCGTAGACGCGTAGGTTTTGTACAGCGAGCGGTTTAACAGTTTGGTTATCGGTTCTAGCCCCTTAGCGCCTCTCAGATTTATCCTCGAGTGGGGGGCTGGGGGTGAAAACATGAAGGAAACGATCGGAAGAACATTCGAGCTTGCTTGAAATTCGAAGTGAATAAGACAGTCAGATTTCTGTGTATTACTGAGGAATCGGTGCGGTGTTTAAGTGCATAGAGTGTATTTTTTATCGAGGAGTACATCAAATCGGAAAGAATCAATGCGTTCCTCACCATTTTGACGGAGAGATATACGTTCAATTTGGGCTACACTAGAGGCATGCAATACTACGCGCGTGAGAGAGAGAGAGAGATTGTCACCGTTTGATTGATTGCAACATCATCACCCTCACCATCAAATCGTCTAAATGACAGTATCGTTTCTCCCTATTATTGTAAGTTGTCAATATTATTGAAACATGTATCTGCAATGATGAAGAATGGATCGATATCAGATATGATGCTGGCCTTCAGAAAGCCAGAAGTTCAGCTTTGAATCCGGGAAGATGTTGTGAACAGCTTCCATTAATTTAGGATCAACTGCTTTGTTTCACTAGCCATCATCACACGTTCTATTACGATACCCCGAATCAATCAATCAACTGCTCCGCGGATTTTTGAAAACCCCAAACAGCGTTTCTTCAATCCGAAATTGTTTGTTAAATTTGTGAATTAACCGTATCACTTTCTCGACCTGTGGTTTTTTGCTATTTATTATCAGTCAGCTTCTCCTAGTCAGAGAGAGTAGCTCCTCCAGAACACCCTGTCGATTGAGAGAGGAAACGCTGCACAGTGCAAACGATGTGATTTTCTCTTATCCACTCCTCACAAAATGTGAAAGGAAAACATGCCAGTACTCTATACGTATACTTCAAAATCCAAGTGCCAGGTTTGATACTCAACTAAAGTTATTAAAGGTATATAACTTCATTCGTGGGCATGTATGGTTGCCATTGCAGCAGCAGTTATTTTTATTCCAGTGATAATAGATTGCCAGTGTCAGCATAAGGTTGGGCAAATAGAAGCCGGAAACCAATTGATACTAACAAACCGCTATATGATTTTGGAAGTAGCAATTTCCACTGTGATACATTAAATATACTCTTACCCACATCAACGTTAACTCTGGAGAAGCCCGAAAAGCTCAAATGTTTTGGAGGATACCCGTTACACAGCTCTGCTTGAGTCGCTAATGTTGGAATATGTCTCTGTTGCCAGCTGCGTTAGACACTCAGAGTCGAAATTTTTATGTTCAGATAGTCTTTTTTTCATTTAGGGCTGTTGGATACCATCTTCATAACAGAGCAGTGTTTAGGCTTACTATGTTTCGTCTGTGATACATTCGTACTGTATACGTGAAGAACGTTATTCAGCATTTTGCAATCTGAGATCATGCATCATACGTTTATCGGTTACTGGTCTAATGCATTCGCTAACAAGTCAACCTGAATCAGTCATGAAAAACCGAAACCTACCACATATCAGTTCATGTGTCGGGTGACATGAGTGAACACGTTTTTGTTCTGACAAATATTACAAGCTCAGCCCCGATTAGGAACAATACGTTAGGACGGAGCGCAGATCGCTTGACGTTCACAACAATAACTGTTATCACCTCCTCGATGTTTAGCCAACTGGTATTGGCCAAGCGAGAGAGAACCGAAAGGAGTATGTTTTCATACGACTTCTTGAATAAGATGACGTAAAGGCTCCTAAGCGAAAAATTCACTAACTGAGTCATCCAAGACGACGATATCCATTGGGACGGCAGTGATCGAGCGGTATATAATTTCAACTCATTCACCCTGATACTTTGTGTACATAGGCCTCATCAATATCATCATAATTCCCCACTTGCTCACTAGCAGTGTTCCATCAATATGAGTTTAATTCCACAAAGGGGAATAACGGCATTGTTATATACCCCTTTATCCTCCGAAAAAATGCAAATGAAGAAAGACATCACACTCAAAGAAAATAAAAATGATCATAGATATTATTCATAATGAAGTATGAATAATGATAACAATAACTAGTCTACCGGTGAACAAGTGAATGCATACTCTGACTGACGATTAACATTATTGTCCATCGAGGTCGCTTTTAAAATACACTTTAAAATGAAAAAAAACAGTGATTCTTAGTGAAAACTACAATAACAAAAACATGTCTCACACAATGCTACAAATCCGATACTCACATCAACATGATGGAAAATTTTCCATTCCTGACTATCCGAAGCACCTCGTCGATCAACCTGACTGACTTCTGTCGGAGAGGGGACCAGGACCACCTCTTCCACTGTTCTATCACAGGTAACGGTGACGGACAAATCCTGTCAAAAAGAACCGGGGGGGGGGCAGTTNCAAATGTCATCTGCCGCATGCATGTGATCAGCAAGTGATAAATAGAGGGTGTTTCGCACAGAAAACGGATGCGTACGCACACACGCACACACATACGATACGCATTCAGATATGAAGTTCTTTCGGTTCGGCTAGTTTCCTGAAATTATTGTTCCCGTTTCCGTGACAGGGTAGATAAATTTCGTTGAAAAAAAATCCGAAAAAGGAGAATAGTCCGATTAACTTCGTGAAACGGAAGTTGAGTAGCGAGTTGTTTTTGTCAGATACCTGATTGAAGTTCAGCTGGTTTTCCCCTCGGCGAATTCGGGCATTTAACTGGAACATGACCTGCTTCAGTGATGTGAGGAACTCATAAAGGTGTACGCTACGATGTCACAAAATAGATTGGTTGTAATGTGGCTGATATTTTCCTTTTCCTCTATTCAAAACGAGATTTCAGTGATCACGTGTTTTGACTTTTTTAAGTTTCATCAAATATACAAATCCATCAACCAAAGTGAATGTCAAACCCCGGATCTCACGAATGGTACCCACATTAACATGCAGCAAATGCAGTGCAACAGTTTAATTCATTATATTTTTAATTAGTATTGAACAACCTACCTGTGAAAGCTTGTTGCGACAGTTTTGCCTAGTTCATTTAAGCAATAGGCGTTCTTGAACTAGGCAATACTCGGTGGGAAAGATTTTAAGACTGGCTACTGGTGGTACTGTGAAACAGGTGTAATATGCTTCAGCGCCTTCGGTCGTACTTTGGTTTTGGTTTGTGAAAGATAAATTTATCACGCAATCCAATGCACTCTACCATTATTCTTTTAATTACATTATTTTTGAGAGCGTTTCCTAAGTAATTGTAGCCAGCTTTTTAAATCCCTTATAAATAGACCGTAATATGAGAACACTATCTTCATTGAATAACAGTCACTTAAAATACTTCATAATTCGATCGGTTCAGATCATATAAGACTATTTTTGTTAATATGATCTGTTTTCACACTCGGTCTGAAGGTCGTTCTGAGCACGAGGAATTAGGGCGTCTTTGCTTCACGTGGTTAGTGGATTTCACTTGGCGGATTTGGTTGAAATGCGATGATGATGATGATGATGATGATGATGATGATGGTGAATTATTACATTGCTAACTCTCACTAATATCACAGTTCTAATTGACACCGGTGTACCGGATCCCTGATAAACATTCTTCACTCTCGAGCGAGACGGCATGGCTGCCGAAGCAATCCAATTAGCACCTTAGCTAACGAATGACGCGTTAAAACTCTAAATAATAATTTATGTAATCGGTTTTTATTTAGAGAATAAAATCATTGAAAAACTCAGCATACACCTAACCGGTTCGTCTAAATCAGAATGGATTATAATGTCAGTGAGAAGTAGAAAAAATAAGATTTATTCCTCATAAAGTAAGGTTCCATAAGATAACATGAATGGTTCATCTGTATGTTGGTAGTCTATATACCCTCTTTTGTTCCTCCAAATCTTTTTAATGTATTCCATCAACTTAGTTTTCAGTTTTTTAAGGTGGTTTTGCCCCAGTTAGTTGCTAATTTTCAGTTCAACGTGGTTTCCTCCAATCCGACCTCCACTCTCAACATTGAGATGCAGGAACTGTTGGCTTCAAGAGCTCCTTGTCTTATTGTCATGGTAACAACAGGAGACTCAAACAGACCGCTCCCGAATTACCTCGATTTCAAGGTTGGCTCTAATAGGAATTTCCCGTTTGGTGAGTTTGTTTTGAATCCCGATAACCTAAGATTAAACCTTAGTTACCGTGACATCTATCGATCATGAAAGCATTTTCTTTGGTGCTTTTAAACAAATCTATGGAACAAGTGCAGTTATGAGAGTTTTGGGAAGTTACTTGAGCTCTTATATGATGCCCTTCAAAGTAAATATCAGTTGCATTTGCACGTCCTGGCATACCTCAGTATTTCATATTGAGGTGATTTTACCTCGATAACCAAGCTGGTACGCATTTACAAGTACCAATAATGTGTAACTTGAAAAGCAATACACATGAGCTAATTGATAGAATATCTATGGAGTATACGAAAGTAGCAATTAAGATTTAGATGTCTAAGAAAACTGTTGAATGCAAAATCTTTTTTCTTTTTGATCTCTATTGTATTTGAACTTCTCAGCAACGGTGCCACCCGGATAATTGATGATGACTAAGCATGGCAACTATCCTGTCGCCGAAAAGTCATCGGAGCTATCTTTACAGAGTAACCAACTCTAATCGTTCAATCAGGATTGTGCACTATCCATACACACCATATGTATGGATAATATTCTTTGCGTGATCAATACGAAATCATGATCAAACGCATTATTGAGCCAGTTCTCAGATACTGCTTAACAGAGCATAAAATTTACTTTAGAAATGGAAAACAATAACCGACTCTGCATTTCCAGACCCCAGTGCGATTGGCAAATGTGATGGCTGGGTGCATAGTAAGGTGAATTAGACGAGTCAGTACATTCATTTTCGCATCTTTGTACCGCTGAAAATGGAAAAGAATTTGGTGCGCTGTCTAGGAGATAGGACAAGTAAGAGTTGTAACGATGGCATCACCGATTCTTGCGGAATGATTTAATGCAATGAAGATGCGGTAAAGAAGACCGAGGTCAGAAGGAAGTCGAGATACGGGGTCCTGCTGTTCAAGAGGGATAGATCAACAAAGGGGCTGCAAAGGAGACCATCCGATGCTTTAAGTATGACCTCCTTTGCAGCACAGCCTAGTGTTTTGTTCACTTTCAAGCCAATTATGTATTTAAGGCTGAAGGACAAAACACCCAATTCGACCCTTTCATTTTGCGTATACTCACTTACGTGTCCTTGTGGAATAACGTACGAAAACCTGACATTTCTCCTTACTGATCCGTGAACACTAACGGGGCACTCACCAGAGCAGTGGTTTCACACCTGACCGAAAAGAAATCGCCCTGTGAATGTGATCAAGACATTCCGACACTGTAAATAGAGGATTTCTTTCACAGGTTGGCTCGTTCGGAACGGTACAAAAACCACAGGGCAAGGGGAACCCAAGCCCATTAAAGTATTGTTGTTTGACAAGATCGGCAGTAACAGCGTTATTCCAACATCCTTCGTGTGAAGCATATTTTGAAAATTATGGATTTCTCGTATTCATTTGGTTTTGGGAGATGGAGATAAAATCATAAAAGCTCTGATGGGTCAATTCCGCTCGGTGTGTACTGCGTTGCTCGGGGTCCAATTGAATCGACTGTTGCTCCGCTACGCATATTTCGAACCACATAAACGATTAACAATCGAATAGGCAACCACGTGTTGGTTCGCATGGAAAAACCCTATGTTTCCATCTACCGTTTTCAGTCCCAGTACCAGGGGAATTTTACTTGCCCAGATTATATATGAATATGCATTTGATATCACCGTTTGGTGTAACTGTTCAGTATAAAGCTTGTTCTCAGTTCATATTCACCAAGCTTCACGCGCGTGCAGTTACTACTTTATAACACAGAATCCTTTGCGAGTTTGTGGGACATGAAGGCTTGAAAGCAAATACGTCGGGAGTGTCTAGAACGAAAACACTACAGGTCTTCAATTTGTGTTTTTCCTGTTGTTTTCCAGGTTATGCTTGATAAATGTAAGATCTGTCTCTAAAATGATAAGTCTGCTGTACATTCTCCCACGCTTTGGGTTTGAGTGATTCGGAAGTTCAGTTCTAAAAGGACAGTGGTTGGAAGATGTGAGATAATTTTCTGTTGGACCGGCAGTTCTTACTTTTAAACGTGGTATTTCCACTCCGTTATTTTCAAGTCTGCACCGAACAAGACTTTGCGTTTACTTCGAACCGTGTGACGATCGAACAGAGTTTACAGCGATAACATGGGAGCAATGACATGAAATTTGTGTATTTCTTTATAAATACGGCCGTCATTATCAAACATCCATTGAAAGGCAAAAATCAAATTTGAATAAGTGCAAAAGATCAGACGATCATGGACTATAGGCCAAATTATACTTCTCATTAACTGACCTGAACATCGAAAGGGAAATGTTTGAGCTCGAGGGTTTCGTGAAATACACCCTTAATGCGTCGTTTCTCCACCAAATAGGCTTCGAAATCGGGCTCAACGAATTCGACCTCGTGACTGACAATCTCGATTGGTTCGCCCTGAGCATTGTCCAGTAGAAGTCGCGGATTCCAGAACTCATCGTCCTGAAGTTTCAACTGAAGTACACGAAGTACACGTGTGTTCACAGTCACACAAGCGAGTGTGCATGTTGTTGTGTGCCATGTGGTTGAATGACCGATGCATTCGTTCGACCCAGATCAGTTTCGCATATCGTTCATGTTCGTTTTGACCAGGTCGCATTGATTTGTATCGGATTATTGGGTCAAAAAAGGGGAGGGAGTTGGCGAGAAAATGGAATTTGGTTAAAAAGAGGCCAAGGATCCTGGTTTAGTATTATTTTTTTACACTTGAGTCTGCACGTATAACGGTCTGTTTGAGGTCGTTGCGGTGCGAACTGGCTCCAAAACCGGTAACTAAGATCACGTGCAGAAGTTTGAACACAATCACGCCTAAAACTGGGGAGCACAGGCCTTGGCAGCATGTTGTTTCTTCAAAGTTTCCTTTCGCAAACTAACAAGGATGAGGT